GAGGCATTGCCATCACCTGCCCGGTTTGCTTTGGGGTGTGTTTTTCTTTCGTCTCTTAAACGTTTTTTTTCTTCTCTCCCCCCCATTCTTACTTTTCTTTTCTTTTCTTTGCTTTGCTTTTCTTTTCCTTTTCTTTCCCTGACCTACATCTATCTTCTTTTGCGCCTGTGTTTCCTCTAGTCTGTAAGTTGGTTTCCTTGGGGCTGAAGCCAAGCGTTCGGTGGCATGTGACCTTTGGGTGGGCCTAAGGGGTAGAAAGAGGTCTGCGCCTCTCGAAGCCCAGGCCAGCTCCAAACCTCCACCATTTACTTTGCAGCCTTGAGTCACAAAGGCCTCTGGAATCGGCGTGTCTAAAACCTTAGGCGCCACAAAGAGGGTCACTTGCCACCGCTGGGATCCATCTCCCTTCTAGATCCATATGTAGCTTACTCATTTCTCTCCCTTTTGATTCCCCGTCCTGCTTTCCTTCCTGCAGTCGATCAGGGCTGGATCCTTGAATCCTGGGCCGGAGGGCATGACGCCTTAACTCGCCCCTGCCCCTGCCCCTAACTCTTCTCTTCCCGTCTTTTTAACTTGCCCTCTAGGGTGTGACTAACCAGTTGGCCAAAGCTATGCACATTTTGGCCAGGGGCAAAAGGTCACTGGTTTTCTGTGGTGATGGGTCGATCCCTGCAGAATCTCAAATACCTCTGGCACTCGACCACAGCACGATTAATAACATTAGATTCGTGGCTCAGGGCACGCTTATTGAGAAACAAGTAGCTGTTCGGGTAATCAGAATGACCCTTTCATGCAGTGAAATGATTGGACAGAGTCGTGCAGTTTGGGATCTCTGGGGATCCAGGAATTCAGACTGGACATTTAAGGTCCAACTTTATAATATTATTTTTATTTTTAATTATTATTAGATTATTATTAAATTTGTATGCCGCCCATCTCCCCCCAACGAGGTAATGGTTGTAGAAGGGCAACCACCATTAGAGCTCTAAAACAAAATTGTAATTTTGGGGGGGATACAGCAAATTTACCTTGTGTGAATTGGTCTTAAGCTCTGAAACACTGGGGGAAATGTTGTTTTGGCTCCAAATTCCACTTTGTAAGAGGCTTGTACCGCATTGGAGTTCTGCCTTGAAAGAGGCTGTGGGTGCCAGCTTGGCTGTGTGCAAAGAGCCCACCTCTCCATCCTGGTGTCCTCCTGATGTGTTGGACTACAGTACCCATACCCCCTTGCCAAGCGTCATGGGCAATGTAAGGCAGCACATCTGAAGGGCACCCTTAGATTGGAGAAGGCCGATGCTGAGGGGGAATTTGATGGGAAGACCGCTGACCTTTATTCCTCTGGCTTGTGGGAAGGGACTAACAGAACCGATCTGACCTTCGCGCTACTCTCTGAACTGGTTGCGTGTCTCCTTGCACACCCCTGTCCAGTTTCCACCCACCCCTCTCTCTTCTCACGCTCTTCCTTCTCTAGCTTACTACACAGCAGCTCCGCTCACCTCGGCTGGGATTTTGCCCGTCATGCAGTCTCTGTGTCCTGACGGACAGCGCGATGAGTTCGGGTTTTTGCAGTACTCCAATTCCATGTGAGTTCGCACCCTCGCTTCCCAAATCCCCCCTATTTCTGGCATTTTGCAGTGGGAGAGGTGGGCTGGCCGAGGGAAAGGCGGGTTCCTTTGCCAGCCTGGGCACCTAGGAGACCCGGGGGGGGGGCTCTACAGAACACCGGTTGCCCTTCCAGTTGTGGAGGGTGAGTTTTGGCTGTAGCCATTTGTTGCTGGACGCAGGCTGAAGGGGGCCTGGTGCAGCCCAAAGGGTTGCCCAGTGAACTGATAGCTTGGCTGTAAAGGAGGAAGCAAAAGGGTGGCCAGCGAGAGCCAAGGTCTTTCGTTCCTTCGCTGTTCCTGCGGGTCGTTTTTCTGACAGCCTGGAGAGCCACCGCGGGGCCGGGCCGTGCAGACTTCAGGCTGGCTGGCGGTGGCCTGCTTCCTCCGCCAGCCCCTTGCAAGCTCAGAGGGCGGGAGGAAGCCAGCGCACCTCTCAGGGTGGTTCCCTTTCACACCCTCCGTGGCTGTTTCCTGCAGGGTGACCCAGCTGCTCGAGCGGCTGAACGAGGTGGTGGTGAAGAGCAACCTCTTTGACCCGGATCGCGCCGGGCCCGAGGAGGAGCTGGAGTCTCTCCGGCGCCACCTGGAGTCTCTCGGCAGCAGCGGGCCCAGCGCTGTGGAGACCCACTTCACCTCCCAGGCAGGTGCGTTGGGGCCTCGCACGCGGGAAGGGCTGGGCCAGGAGGTGGCCCCCGACAGCCGCGGCTCCTTTTCCCAGCCAGCCGCCCAAGGTTGCTGCGTCTGGGGACAAGCCAAGCTGCTCCCTGCTGCCCACGGGTGGGCTCTTTCCCTGGTTGCACTCACTGCCCTGTCTCCCCTGCCCCATTTATCTGCTTCTTCTCTTTCCGTGGCAGCCCCAGGCTTTTCCCTCGACTCCGTCGCCAAGGACAAGCTGGAGCTTCATCGCTTTCTCATGCAGAACCTCTCTTTGTCCAACGAGACGGTGGAGCTCCTCACGGGCTCCAGCATTAACCTGAAAGAGGTTTGTTGGGCAGGGGGAGCAGAGGCAGGGAAAAGGGGATGTCGGTGGCAATCACAGACCTGGAAGGAGACCACCGGCCTTCAAACTGGAGGGGACTAGAATTCACCGCAGTTCCTTCCGTAGGTCTACTGGCTCGTCTTTGGCACGTCTCCCGGCTCGGCTGACAGCCGGGGCCCAGCGGGGAAGCGGCACCACCCGGAGGTGAGTCTTCAGGGAGCCTCGCGTTGCAGGTGGGGGCAAAGGGCGGTGGAGGATGGACAACAGGCCGGCTTGCGGTTGCAGACCTGATGGGAGCCGTGGTGGACTCAGGCTGCGTTCAGGAAAGGGAGAGAGGGACGGATCGTTCCCATGTTGTAAAAAAGCACCATCCGTCTCTAGAAGGCTCCCTTGATAGGTGGGGAATTGCAATGGCCAAGGCAGAGGGATTGTTGGAAGGCGTTTGAAAACACTGAAAAGCAGCGGGAACGGAGCCGGGTAGCCCACGGAGCGTCGCCCGGATTCAGAGGGTTTCTGGTTTCTTTCCTCTGCTCTTCCCCCTCCCCAGAAAAGCTTCCTGGGCAGCTTGAAGATGATGGAAGATGGGCTGGTCCGGCAAGCGTTGCGCCGCCCCCCCAAAGGCCCCCAGCAAAAGGCCATCGTCCGTCTCTTCTCCCAAGCCTTGGGTCTCGCCAGCCCTGCGGCAGAACCCCCTGGCTCCTACAGCCCGCAGACCTTTGTGAAGGACGTGGAGGTGAGGGGGCGAGGGGGAAGCCAGCTCTCCCCATTGGGGGATTGGGGAGGGGGCTGTGCCTCCAGGAAGGGGCTTTCTCCCCTGACCTCCGCAGAGCAGCCCCCGGCTCTTCCCAGCACCGGCCACCTCTGCGACCTCACGGCAGCTCTGCTTGCCTCGCTGCCCAAGGGGCCGCCTGACCATTGTTCCCCCCCGCAGAACATCCTTTTCACCCCCCCTGTGCTGGAGAGCCTGACGTGTCGCCAGAGCCAGGACGAGCTAAGACGCATCCTGATCGTCCCGGACCACCAGCAGCCCCTCCTGCGCGCCTATCGTGCTGCTGTCTGCAACCGGAGCGCCAGCCTGCGGGCCAGCTATTTCAGGCAGTTGGCCATGGAGATGAAGGACCAGCTGGAAGCTCACAAGGTGGTTGAACAGGTGAGGTGGGACGGGGCAAGGGGGGGGAGACTCTTCTGCGGCTGCCCCGGCCCTTGGCTCATCTCAGCATCCGGTGCAGTGCTGGGATGGGCACGTGCTGCCTAGGGACCTGTACCCGGCCGGAGGCTCTGAGAAGGAGAGCTCGTTCAGGGCTGCCGGTTGCAACCTGAGCCTTGGGTCTTGCAGCTGAAGCTGGACGAGGTGAACCACACGGCGGCCCAGAGCCGCCTCCACACCCTGCTGGAGGACTTGATGGAGATGGAGGAGGTGCTGAAGGACGTGGACATACTCTCGGCCCTGGCCAAGCTTCTCCCCAAGGGGGCCTGTGCTGCAAAAGCACCCCCCACCGCTCCCAACAGCACCGGCTCCGCCGGGAACTTCACCTCCGGCACCAATTCCAGCTCGGAGGAGGGCAGGGCCGAGAGCGAGCCGCCGGCCGAGGATCCACAAGGACAGTGCTCCGCGTTCGTGCAGCTCTGGGCCGGCCTGCAGCCCATCCTCTGTGGAAACAACCGGTAAGGGTCCCAGGGTGGCTGGTCAGATGGGAGCGTTGGCTTTGCTTCTGGGCCCGCAGGCGTGCAGGTGACCTTCGGAATCTGTCCCCCGCCTAGGACAATTGAACCCGAGGCGCTTCGGCAGGGGAACATGAGCTCTTTGGGGTTCACCAGCAAAGAGCAGCGCAACCTGGGTCTCCTGGTGCATCTCATGACGAGCAACCCCAAGATCCTGTATGCGCCGGTTGGCACCGAGGTGGATAAAGTCATCTTGAAGGTGGGTGGAGGTCAGGGACAGGTGGCTTTTGCGTTCGAGGTTGCGCTTGGCTGATGGGTCTGTTGATACGTCCCTCCCTCTCCACAGGTGTAACACACACACACATACACAGTGGTGTCTCCACTGTTTTGCACTTGGCCTTTTCAGAGGCACCTGGCTGCCAACTCCAAGAAGAAGCTACCTGAAAAGAATCATAGTTATGTCCCCTCGATTCTTTTAATATCCCACCTGCGAAGTTCCTGGGGTGTCCTTGGGCCTGCGTACGCTTGCCTTGACAGGGCGCTTCTCCCTCCCCTCCCTGTGCTGCAGGCCAACGAGACCTTTGCCTTTGTTGGGAATGTGACGCGCTACGCCCAGGTTTGGCTGAACATCTCTGCCGAGATCCGCGGCTTCTTGGAGGAGGGCAAGCTGCAGCAGTGGGTCAGCTGGCTCCAGCAGGTACGGGGGGCTGCTGCCAGCTTGGCCTCCCTGCCCACCCTGGGCAGCAGTGAAGTGGGCAGAGCAGGGGCCTGGCAAGAGAGCCCCCTTATGCCAACCAGCCCAGCTGAAGCCAGAGCTTCACTCTCAGCTCTGTTTGGCCCCTGCAGATGGCGGCTGACCTTCACAGGCACCCTGAGATCCTGAACGTCTCAGACAGCATCCTGTTCCACAACTTCATGGAGAGTAATTTCTCTTTGTCCAACACCAGCACGCTCCTGCAGCAGCTGGACACGATCGACAACGCTGCCTGCGGCTGGATCCAGTTCATGTCCAAGGTGGGTCTCTCAGCCGGAAAAGCTGAGGGTCCAGCTGGGTTCCTACTTGGATGGGAGACAACGAGGAGGCCCCAGGGTTGGAGTTAGACTGGGAAGTCAAAAAGGAGGTGCCAGAAGAGGGCACGGCAAGACTTTTTTCAATATGTAAAGATTTAAAATATATCTTTGTATGGTGCAATTCTATAAAAAGTCATGATTTAAAACAGGAAGAAAGTATTTAAGGCTTGTATTTTAAAAAATGCAAACTCCCAGAATATGCTTTTGCTGTAGAAATTGAGCATAGGAGCTGGCAGAGGTTGGTTTTCTATGTGTCTCCATTCTCTCGTTGGCCTTGCTTTCTTTGTCTCCAGATGGCAGGGACTTTCTGCCGCCCCTGGCTTGGGTTCCTCGGCTCGTGCCTCTAGAACTGGGGCTCTCACATGGCAGGATCCCCGTTGGGTGATTCTCTGAGGGAAAACTAATTCTTGGGGACCGAAGCCATTCCCAAGCTTATGGTCTCTGCGCCTCAAAGGAATCCCATTGTCCCCTAGGTCAGCGTGGACATCTTCAAGGGCTTTCCGGACGAGGAGAGCATCGTGAACTACACCCTGAACCAAGCCTACCACGACAATGTCACCGTCTTTGCCAGTACGGTCCTTCCTTGCCTCTCACCTTCCTCCCTTGCAGCTCGTTCACCCGAGTAGCAGAACCGCCAGTTCGAGCGCTGGCACTTCTGGGCCAGGACTGGCCTCGCTGTAGCAAAGGGGGAATAGTTTCTAGATGCACCCTTCAGATATTTTGGACTACAACTCCCATTATCCCCAGGATGTCTTGTCCTGGTTGAAGAGGAACGGTGGAGCCAAGGGCTTCAGCACTTTGGACAGCTCCAAACTGATTTATTCCATGTATTGATTTGCTGGTTCCAGAACGTTGTATCTCAGAGTTCCCTCTGTGTCTAAGGGTAATAGGCAGAGAGATAGAAATATGGATTTACGTGTGTATTTATTTTAGAGGACACCCGACTCCAGGTGGCTTACATGATATATAAAAATCCACCCTGGAGCTTCAGCATCCTGTAATCTTTCCAAAGCCTCTCCAGACATTCTGAAATGTCAGCTGTTTTTCTTGCTTCTTTCTCTCGCTCGGTTCCCTCCAGACTGTGGGCCTCACCAGGGAATTGGAGCACCTGCGTGGGGGTGGTTGGTGCCTTGGGAGAAGTTGACTTCTGGGGCTCCCACTTGAGGAGCATTGTCATGTCAGAACGTCAGGCTGACCTTTGAAGTCAGGAGGGCTAGAAGCTTTGAGCAAATCAAAACTGAGGGTCTGTAGAGGCGGTTCTCGTGCAGCAAATAATAAACCCACCAGTTCCACGCAGGACTTAATCGCGAAAAATTCCCTTGCCCCAAGTCCCTACTTCACAAGGCAGGGGAAACAAGACAGCGGAGTAGATGGCCTCTTGGTTGGATCCAACGTCCCAGGTCAACGCGTGGCCTGCTTGGGGACAGACCCAGCGTCCTTGTGCTTCTTCCACACCCCTTATGGAGTATTTTCTTTTGTCTTCTCCCCCAAAGGTGTGATCTTCCAAACCAACAAGGATGGCAGCCTCCCACCTCACGTCATGTACAAGATCCGCCAAAATTCCAGCTTCACGGAGAAGACCAACGAGATCCGCCGGGCATATTGGAGGCCTGGACCAAACACCGGGGGCCGTTTCTACTTCCTTTATGGCTTTGTCTGGATCCAAGGTGAACACACCTGTTTTTTTCGGTGCCTGTTAGAAAGATTGGCTAAATATATGCTCCATTTTACTATCCTAATGTCTGTGAAGTTGTGTCCTTTGACTGTAGGTTAATTAATCCATGCTTCAGTAACACTTCCTGACCCTTTATTTCATTATTCATGCACTGAAGAGGCAAGTCACCTCTTGAGGCCAATTTGGATACCTTCACAGCAGCAGAAATCAGTACAATGAGAAATATGAGCATAAATAGAAGTGCTTTTCTCCTTCCAAAGACATGATGGAGCGCGCCATTATCAACACCTTTGTCGGCCGCGATGTGGTCGAGCCTGGCAATTACGTGCAGATGTTTCCGTACCCCTGTTACACCCGTGATGAGTGAGTCCTGTTCTGCATAAGACGTCCTGGGATGTGGTGCTTCCTTGGACAATAGTGGGGAGGGCATCTTCTCTGAAAGCCTGTCTTAACCCCCCTCCCATTTTGGGGGGTAAACCCTGCCAAGGAAAGGGCAGTGTTGTGCTCTGGAGGGGAACGGGAGCTGCTGTTGACATGGCCGCTGCCTCGCTAGAGCAATCTTCTTCGTGGCCCATCTCATCCTGAGGTTGACTGGGGGTGGTTCCTGGGCTGTGGACGATGCTCCCCATTTCCTTTCCTCCAGTTTCCTGTTTGTGATTGAGCACATGATGCCTCTGTGCATGGTCATCTCCTGGGTGTACTCGGTCGCCATGATGATCCAGCATATTGTTGCAGAGAAGGAGCACCACCTGAAAGAGGTAAGGCCGCAGGGCGGTTTGGGCGGGAGGCAGAGCCTGCGGCCTGCGCTGCTTCCCAGGTAAGGAGGAAAGGAAAGAGATCTGGGTGCGGTCCGAGGAAGCGGAAGGCTCTCCTGAAAGGCCGGTGGTTCGTTCGATGCTGCAGTGGGGGCCAGCCGGGCTGATGAGAGGAAGCGGGGTGGCTATTTCAGAGTCGGGGGCGCTCGTGGAAACGGCCAGCCCCCAGGGAGCCACGCCCTGGCCCCGAAAGGGAGGCCCCAGGGCAGGCGCCCTGCAGACTCTCAGGGTACAGATAGCAGCGCAGTGAACCACCCTCTCGAACTGGGGCTGGAAGTGCCCTGAGAGGGGGGCCCTCTAGCTGGCTGGTTTCCGACTTTTAAGCCGGGGCACTTTCCAAGCCTGAGTTATCCCTTCCGTGCCACGTCCCTGCAGCACCCCTTCGCTTGCCTCCAGTGCCAGGAGCCCCTTCCCCTTCCGTCGCTGGCCTGGTCGTGTCCCTTTGGTCGCCCTGTTTAATGAGAGCGTGATGAAGTGCCAGGGCGGCGAGCCAGCAAGGGAGCCCGCCTTCAGGCTGGTGGCTGCACCCCTGCCAAGGAAGAGGAGAGTTGGCAGAGGTGCCAGTTGCAAGGAGAGATTCCGTCCAGGTGGGCAGGCGGGCAGGGAGAGGTCCTTGCAAGAAGATCTCCTGTCCACAGTGATTTTGGCTTGAAAAGAAGGCTAAAGTTCCCATCAACCTGCTTGGTGATGACCTGAGTGCCAAGGGCTTGTCAAGTCTAAAGAGAGAAATTCAGAACTGGAGCAATTCATGAGAGCATTGGCCCTTAAAAGGGCAAATAGACACGTATCAGGGTCCTGTATGCAAATCCCTGCCATGGTTTCCAATTGTGGGTTAGGGGAGAGCCTTCCTTTGCTCCTTCTCAAGAAGTAGTTCCCTCCCCCTTTCTGCCAAAAAAGAAAGTTAAGATTTTGTTTTAAACTGAAGGTTTGAGTAGAGGGGGGAAGGCAAGGGCTGTGAGTCTCGGAGATGCTGTCAGAGCTCCTGAGAAATGTTCACACAGCATTCAAGCTGGTCTTTCCAAAGGCTAGACAGCTTTGGGCACGAGGCGAGAAGGCACGGCAGGCTGGAGCGGCCAGGTAAGGTGGGAGTCTGACACGCCTTGGATGGGGGCTGCCTGGCGGATGCTGTGATGCCGGCCGTGCAACACAGGTCTCTCTGGCTGACGCGGTGCCCTGTGGGGAGCACCGGATGGGGCAACGGGGCTGATCCCGGTGCCTGTGCCTTGCAGGTGATGAAGATGATGGGGCTGAATAACGCGGTCCACTGGGTAGCATGGTTCATCACAGGCTTCGTCCAGCTGTCCATCTCGGTCACAGCGCTGACCGCCATTCTCAAGTACGGGAAGGTCCTTATGCACAGCGACGTGGTCATCATCTGGCTCTTCCTGGCCATCTACGCTGTGGCCACCATCATGTTCTGGTGGGTGCAAGGAGGAGGGAAGGGCAGCAAAGACCGAGCCTGGCGGGATGACCTGGCCGGCCGTCACTTTTGGCCTTCGCATTGAGGACATGGGCCGTGCTCCTCTGGCTTCCGTTGTGGACCTTTGCAGAAGTCGGAGACGTGGTCTCCCGCCTCCCAGGGCACCGCCCTGCTGAGCAGAACGTGCAGCTCCCTCAACCCAGCCCCCCGGCTGAGGGTGATGGGTTGGGGAAGCCTGCTTAGCTGAACCTGTTTCCCCCCTTCGCAGCAGGGTGACCTCAGTCCCCCTTTTCCCGCAGCTTCCTGGTCTCCGTGCTCTATTCCAAGGCCAAGCTGGCCTCGGCGTGTGGCGGGATCATCTACTTCCTCAGCTACGTCCCCTACATGTATGTCGCCATCCGGGAGGAAGTGGCCCACGACAAGATCACCGCCTTTGAGAAGTGCATTGCCGTGAGTCCCCGGGGGAGAGGCGGGTTTCCTTGTGGTGGGGGTGGCAGCAGAAGCCTCTGAGGCGGATCCGGTCCCCTTTTCCTGCTGCAGCCGAGCAGAGCCCCTGGGGCTGTGCTGCCCTCGGTGGGGCATAGGACTTGCACGGGAGGGGCAAGACTGAGGCGCCTCCAGATGTTTCCTAGCCCCTTCTAGGAGGAGTTTTTCATTCTTGCCCCCCCATTTCTCCCCAGTCCCTGATGTCCACCACGGCCTTTGGGCTGGGCTCCAAGTACTTTGCCCTCTACGAAGTGGCGGGCGTGGGCATCCAGTGGCACACCTTCAGCCAGTCCCCTGTGGAGGGGGATGACTTCAACCTTCTCCTTTCCATGATGATGTTGATCATCGATGCCGTGGTCTACGGGGTGCTGACGTGGTATATCGAAGCCGTGCACCCAGGTATGGGGCTTTGGGGAGCTCGGGGGTCTTGCTCACTTTCTCTGCCCCCTGCCAGCTCCAGCTGTCACTCTGGCAGGTGGGGAGGGTTGAGATCCTCCAGCAATGGTTCTTGGCCCACTGCTGTGCCAACTTGTGTTTCTTTCCCAGGAACGTACGGGCTGCCCCGGCCTTGGTACTTTCCGCTGCAGAAGTCCTATTGGCTGGGAAATGGGCGCACCGAGGCCTGGGACTGGTCATGGCCCTGGTCCCAGATGACCCACCTAAGTGTCACAGAGGAGGACCAAGCATGTGCCATGGAGAACAGAAGGATGGGTAAGAACAGTGGTGGAAGCAGACCCAACATGGGGCATGTTCGGCATCGCGTAGAGAGCTACCATTCATTTGCATTAGAGAAGCGGAAGAGAATTGCCCCTTGGTGCCCTCCCCACACCAAACGCCTTCTGGTGCGTGGAAGCCTCGAGAAGCGCCAGGCACCCCTATGCCCGCAGCGCGTGTGATGACCTGGCCAGGGTGCAGAGATGGTCTGGAAAGACCGTGCTTTCTGGCGGGAGGCCTAACGGATGGGCCCTCTCTGTCCTGTGCTCTTTGTTGGCACGCTGCAGAGGAGAGCCGGGGCATCGAGGAGGAGCCCACCCACCTGCCCCTGGTGGTCTGCGTGGACAAACTGACCAAGATCTACAAGACCGACCAAAAGCTGGCTCTGGACAAGCTGAGCCTCAACCTTTACGAGAACCAGGTGGTGTCCTTTCTGGGTCACAACGGCGCCGGCAAGACGACCACCATGTGAGTGTGTCAGCTGGAAAGCGGGGAGAAGCCCCCTTCCATGGTTGGCAGTGGGAGGCAGGGAGCGGGGGCTCCGTGTCACCATATCCCCTCCTGCCTCCCCACTCAGGTCCATCCTGACAGGCCTTTTCCCCCCAACCTCTGGCTCCGCCACCATTTACGGCCACGACATCCGGACGGAAATGGACGAGATCCGGAAGAACCTGGGCATGTGCCCTCAGCACAACGTCCTCTTTGACAAGCTGACCGTGGAGGAGCATCTCTGGTTCTACTCGCAGCTGAAGGGCACCGCAGAAGAGGAGATCTGCAAGGAGATGGCCAAGTAGGAGCCTCCCGCAGCACCTGTGCGCCCCGGCTGGGCGAGTCTTCCCGGAAGGGCTCCCCAAATGGAGTGAGTCCCTGGGAAGACGGAGCCCGCCTTGCTCTTGTCCCCACAGGATGATCGAGGACCTGGAGCTGACCCACAAGTGCCACTTCCTGGTGCAGATGCTCTCTGGAGGGATGAAGAGGAAGCTCTCGGTCGCCATTGCCTTCGTGGGGGGCTCGCGGGCCGTCATCCTGGACGAACCCACTGCTGGCGTTGACCCCTATGCCCGCCGAGCTATCTGGGACCTCATCCTCAAGTATAAACAAGGTGAGCCTGCCAGGCCCCAAAGACGCCGGCCTGGGCCTGCTTCTTCGGCACCTGTGCAGCTTGGCCCCTTGGCCTGAGTTATGGGGAGGCCCCGGGCCCCGAGCCTCTTTTTCTGGATTCTCTCTGCGGTGCAGTTGGGGGGCCAGAGAGTTTGGGGAGCCCCCTTGGAGCACCAAGCAGTGCTGCTTGGTCTGCCTGGTGCCGGTGGGTCTCCATTCTCCTTCCACCTTTATGGGCTCTTGGGGGGTCTTCCTGCTCCATGTGGCCCCTGCGCCTCTTCTGCCACCCCAGGAAGGACCATCCTCCTCTCGACGCACCACATGGATGAGGCTGACCTCCTGGGGGACCGAATTGCCATCATCTCCCATGGGAAACTGAAATGCTGTGGCTCGCCGCTCTTCCTGAAAAGCACGTACGGGGACGGGTACAAGCTGACAGTGGTCAAGAAGCAGTCGGACTCCCGGACCAACACGGGTCAGTGGCCCCGCCAGCCCTCCTGCGTCTGAATCATCACCCTTTTAGCTGGAGCAACGGTGACTCCGGCTTTTTTGCAGGCAGGAAGTCCTCTTGCCTCCTTGGCCTTTGGTACTTAGGTAGACTTCCCCTGAACAGGGAGGTTCACCTTTGCAGCCCCATGGCTTTCCTTTGCCTGTTCTGCAGCTGTTACGGCAGCTGCATAATGGTTAAAGTTGCGAGTTAGGTGAAAAAGCATCTTCTTTCCCTTCCGTGGCAACCGCTGGGCAGATTGGTCTGGCTAACGCTCTCCTTCCCTCCGTCAGAGGCCGGGCTCCCCTGGAGCCCCCCTTGCCCCTCCGCCGTCAGCCCGTGCTCCGAAGAGCGAGTCACCCAGTTCATCAAGAAGCACGTGGCTTCCTGCATCCTCATCTCCAACACCAACACGGAGCTCTCCTACATCCTGCCCAGCGAGGCCGTCAAGAAGGGCTGCTTTGAACGGCTGTTCCAGGCAGGTGCAGAGATCCCACGCGGGTGCAGAAGCCAGAGCAATGGCAGCGCGGGAGAGGCAGGAGAAAGCTGGGAGGGCTTGCTTTTAACTGGCGGGCTTCTTCCTTCCCGGGGGGTAGAAACACAGAAGAGAGGCTTGTGACCTCTGGGACTCTGTGTCCTTCACCACAAGCTAGTCCTCTTGAAAGGGGGTCCTTGCAACCCAGATACCCCCTGTCAGTCTCAGTGGGACTCGCGAGCAATGCAAATCTCGCAGTGGATCCCCAGAAGAGTCTAGGGAGGGTCCCGTTGTTGCCACGGACCGAACTGATAACAGCCTCCCCCCGTGGTTGCAAGGGGTAGGCTACCCCTGAGCCTGGAAGCTCAGGGCTGGTAGCCACTGATAGCCTTCCCTACCTCTGTGAATTGGTGAAACCAGTTTAAAGCAGTGAACGTGCAGGCTTCTTCGGGAAGGGAACAAGCCACTTCCTTTCGCCCTACTCTGAAACGGTAGTTGCTTGACTGAGGCCTGGGCATGGAAACATTTACAGCGAGATAGTATGCACAAGAGGGTTGCTTTGGGCTGCCCCCAAGTGCACGCAAGGAGCAGACCCCCCATGCGAACGAGCTTCGGTTGGGCTTCCGCCCATCCCTGATTTCCTCCCGCTCTGTTTGGCAGCACCTGGAGCACAGCTTGGATGAACTGGACCTCACCAGCTTTGGTCTGATGGACACCACCCTCGAGGAGGTCTTCCTCAAGGTCTCAGAAGAAGATCAGTCCCTCGAGAACAGCGATGCTGGTAAACCGGAGGAGGGGACAGAAGCTCCCCGCCAGCGGGGGTTTCCTGGGGCACCCGGGCAGCCTTCCTCACTTCTGCCCACCCTTGCAGACATGAAGGAGTCCAAGAAAGACACTTTTGCACTGCCCAGTCCCTGCCTCGGCCCCAAGCCCGAAGCCAATGGCCAGCCCGCCCTGAGGTCAGAAAGGCCGACGAACCCAGAGGGCAATCTGGGGAACCTCCTAGCCTGCTCAGACCTGGCTCAGTCACGGGCGTCACTGCAGTCATCCTCCTCGGCCGGCTCCATACGCGGCGAGGAAGGCGGGCCTTACTCGGAGTTCTATGGGGAATACTCCCCCTTGCCCGAAAACCCACAGGACCCCGATAACAGCAGTCTGCAGGGTTCGTAGCCTGCGGAAAGTCTTGTGTGGGCGGGGAGGGCTGTGGGAGGGAAGCAGTC